ATACAGAAAAAAAATAAGAATTGTGTGATATGACTTAAAACAATATGTTGCAATTAACCCTCTTGAATTCTGCATGTTATATTCTGTAGATGAGAACAAAAAAATATTAAGAACAAAATTGTATTTTAATCTCTTTGGTTTGGCTTTCTGGTCTTTCATTTTGCAAATTTAACTTAATTTGAGAAATTTCAGGATTAAAAAATGTTAAATTTGTTTTAAGTAATAAAATGAAATCAGAACTTTCAAAGCAGATAAGGTTTTCAAATAGATTTCTAAAACACTTCAAGGGATCAAGTGTTAAAAACAAAAATTGATGTTAGGTCATTTTGAGAATTGAGTCAGGCAAAGGAATTTTCAGTGTCCATCTGTATGTATTGAAATGTCTTGTACATAATTTGTGTTACATTGATATACACAAGGCTAATAGTAACATTGTATTTCATTTTTTTTTTTTTTTCTTCAGAAAAGCATATTTTGTTTCAGGTAAAAATTTTGCCATAAAAACAATGAAGATGAGGACCCCAAATTGAATAACACCTTAAAAAAACAAAAAAAACAATGCTGACAGAAATCCTTTTTCTTATCTTAGAAAGGGCTATGATAAAACCCTTCCAAATCTTGATTTTATATATATATATATATATATTAGTGTAAAGATAAAAAGTGCTCAGTGTTAAATAACAGAGCTATTTAATATACAATATTTAATTATACCTTATATTGATTGCACAACTCTGAGTTTCATGCTGGTATATTTATTTTCATTTTGGGTTAACACCTGTTTTGCAAAATTTCTGGTTATTGTGAGATCCTTTGTTGTTAAAATATTTAAATGAATTGTGGTTTAATTTTGAATTTGAATTTAAACTCAGATTAACATTTAAGAATGAAAATAAGAATGATAAATTATAATTTAGAGAGATGCTGATGTAATCAAAGTAATAAACAAGAATAGATGTTAGAAAATCAAGCGGTTTTTTTGGGGGGGCTATTTTACCATGAAAATCAATAAAGTAAATACCAATATTATTAATATAAATATTACTGAACTAAAAGTAGTGCTATCAATAATAATAGAATATACTGTGATAGAATAAAATTAAAGTACTAATAAAAATAATACATATCAATGAAAATAAAGTAAAATACAAAAGAGTTATATATGAACATATAAATATGTCAATAAATAAAAACTTTTCTAAAAAGTAAGACTAAAAGAAAAAGACAAGAAAAAATAATAAATGTGATATATAAAAAAAAGGTAACATAATGGGTTAGCAAAAATGTAAATGTGTTACAGTCTGATATTAACAATATTTGTATAGTAAAATATGTTAAAAATATTAAGAGATATCAATGCTAGTATAGTGGTTTTCCAAGCGTAGCTTAGATGTGGCACAAGGCGGAAAGTATGGGGCACCCAGTGAGGATCGAACTCAGTCGTAATTGTTCTAGCGAGATAAGCTTGCTAACCATTTACACCGCCTCGAGGTGCCTATATCAATGCTAGTATATGTGGAAGCCAGGTCTGGGCAGACTATATAAATCTGGGTCAATGTGTTTGAGCTGAAATTTGGTTCTATATAGGCAGATGTTAATTAACTCCCTTTTGTTTAAGAGATTAGGATTTTTTTAATATTTTTCAGAAAGACATAAGTTACATTTGTTGCCTTTCCTGCTGAAGGACTTAGCTTTTGCTACTAATTCCCAGGTGATTATATGGTTTTTATTCTTGCTTTTTAGCTTCCAGGGCACTGCTGTTACTATATTTGATATTGCCCAATGTCATTTGGTGGTGGTAGAAGTGCACTTTCCAATGGTTTTCCATAGAGCCCTCATAAAACTTGACCTTGTCATATTTGATTTCAGCTTTATAAGCTAACGATTTTAACATACATTTACCTTTTAATGGGCAGGGTTTGTTTTTGCTGCAATTCTTAGTTGTGGAGATGTTTGTTTTTTTTTTTTTTTTTTGAAGGTTGTTAAAGTGTTTGCTTAGAATGTAACAGTTGTGCTATGCTATATATTGATCAATGTCTTTAGTACAACTGTAGCTAACTTTGGCATTTTTGTTGAAGATCTTATCAAGTGTAGGGAAATGACTGAAGTGCTTATGGATTAAATTTTAAAGTTTTTCCGATATTAGTTTTGACGTTTTTGTTGAAGGGCAGGTTGAATTATATAATATTGCATTTACAATGTTTTGGTTTGTTGGCGTCCTTAATGCTATTTGCTGAGAATTTGAGGCTAATTTTATGGTTACTTTATTCTAGTGCTTCTACATATTTGCCTTTATGTCCTTATTGGTAGACAGTCTAAATTGAACATATTTATTTAAATTATTCAGTATTCTAGTATGATGGTTGGATTGTTCATGTGTCTATAGTTGTATAAACCTTTAGTATGTGGTTGATAGAGCCCATTAGATAGGTCAAATGTTACATCCAGGAAATTGATTATTTTAGTATTAGTGGTGGCAGTAATGCTCAGATTGTGGTTT